AAATAATTTGTTGTTGTATACTGTTGAGTTGGAACCAACCCATAGCTGATTCTCTGGCAGGTTTTCAGAGGCAGTTAATTGCACGGGAGGAGAATGCCCATACGTCTCTGGCAGAGAGGCTCGTGGCCTCAAACCACACGCCTTCAGGATTGTAGTACAGCTTCTTGCCACTAGGCCACCAGAGCTCCCAATGAAAAACAAACAAACAAACAAACAAACAAACAAACAAACAAACGTATATTTATATACATTCTTATTTGAGTGAGCTGAGTAAGCGCTAATATTTATAGTGAATGTAATAAGCAACCTCAATAGGATTTGGAAGCTTAGAAACAAAAGATAAAGATCAAGTGGGAATTAGTCACTCCCACTATCAGACCTCTGTGAGGTGGCATGAGCTGTAGCAATAAATTACCATCATCTTTCAAATGACAATGTTGTTTGTTGTTATGTGCCGTTGAGTCGCTTGCGACTCACAGCTACCTTATGTACAACAGCCCTAAACTCTACTCTGTAATGTGTCAATCTCACTGTCTCCGACACACCCATCCAGATTACCCCAGTCACTGAATCAATCCACCTCCTAGAGGGCCTTCCCCCTCCTGTGCTGTCCCTCCACCCTCCCAAGCATGATGTCCTTCTTCAAGGACCCGTCCCTCCTTAAAACATGTCCAAAGTATGTTAGACGGAGCCTTAGAATCCTTGCCTCCAAGGAGCCACCCAGTTTAACCCTTTGCAGGATGAATGTTTGTTTTCCTAGCAGTCCAATATACTCTTCTACAGCACCACAGCTCAAAGGCATAAATAGACTTAGGTAAAATGTAGCTAAGGTTCCTACACTACAAAACATTCAACACAAAAATCAAGAAAAACAACAACAAAAAAGCAATGCTTTAAATGCTCCATCACTTACTTAGGCTTCACTGAACAGTGAGGCGAACCACAGCAGTTATTTTTCATATTCTATTCTTGTATTTTAATATAAATTGACTGAAGAGAAAAATTATGACAAAAATTTGGAAAAACATGAACTTAAACCACACAGAAGAGGTTGCAGAGTGGATTATATCTGGGGGTAGGGGGTGGGGTTTGGGGAGGTGCAGGGGG